TTCTTAAGAGGTTATGAGAGGTGAAAGATTTGCTTTTATTCTAAAAACCGTTACTGCTGGCAGTGTCTGCCCACTTCCTGCTCACTGTGATAATTTTTTGAGACAGATTTGGATAAAGTCAAACACCCTATTTTCTGGGTACTTAAAGAATTTAAAACCGAAGTCTAATATGGAGATATCACAAAATCTGAAGAAAAGGATCATTTTGTCTAAAAAGTGGGTTAAAGTACTTTTTCCATTGGGTCAAGGGGATCTACATCTTTCCATTCTGTATCATTTCAAAAGTGACAAGCAAATCTAGAAGATCTTACAAGAAAAGAGGAATTAAACCTTTTGTCTAAAATATGAAGATTGTTTCTTTCCTTTGGGTATTGTCCATCTCTCCTTTTTTTCCGCTTATAAATAAGAGCATCATGGAAGCATTGAAGACACACCTCCTTCAAGCATTTACTCTCATCTTGAAGATCTGGAGCACTAGTTAGAATTCAATTTCTGCATTTATTTCTTGTCTTGTATTTAATTTCAAGTATGTTTTTGTCCACTATTTTCCCATTGTGGCAACAGTTTTAGTTAAGGTTTAATATAAGTATTTCTTAAGAAATTCACTACTTCTCTTGTCCTTTAGTTTTATCATGAGCTAATCACCCATTTTTTGGTGTGGATATGAGTCAAACTTAAGACTAGTAGGCACACTTGGGTGTTACCAATGTTATTAATTCTTAAGCTTGATCACTTAAATTTGGTCATTAAACTCAATGCGAATAAGCTGATCACTTTAAAATGTTGATGTCCGCGCACATGAGCAACAATCACTCCATTGCAGCAAGCAAAGTAGCATTTAGGAGAGCAAGGTAGCAAAAAAGTATATTAGAAGTAATTTTCAAGATTTTTTACTTATGTAATGGGGAGGTACCAGCTAATGTCTTTGAAGACATTCAGAAGGTCGTTTGAGATACGGAGGAGTGCTTTGGGTTTGATCTGAGATGGGTTCATGCTAGGCTGGGTGTAGTGGCCAAGGTAAGATTTTGATACCAATTGAACTTCCTCCCTCATGGTCCCTTTTCAGTTCATTTTCGGAAATTCCCGTAACATCATCTTTAAGAAATTCTGACTGCCGCTTGGAATGGTTTGTGGGTTCAGAAGGGCTAGATTAGATCCTTGATCCAGAGATGAACAGATTCGAAGTACGACTTAAATGATGTAAAAAAGATTTGATAAAGTCTTTGATAATTACATAGATATACATATTTTGCATGTTTTAGCTAAGGTTCAAATATTAGTCGAGATTTACACTACAAAGATATTTGAGTATAAATATTTAGACTAGTGGAACCAGATATCTTTTTATCACTTAGATAATTCGGCAAGCTTAAAAACTGTGACAGTGGGAACTTCGTGGGCACTCTATGGGCACAGTATATGAAAACTTACTTTCAAGAGATTGGAGTTTTTATAGAAGTCCCATAAGTTTCTGACTATCTTGTTGATATAATTGTCTTAAGAAAAACTTACACCCATACCTATCTTTTAATTAAAAAGTTTATCTTGTCTTTTAAGTATTTCTACCAACAAAAACTTGATTTTTATTCACAACCGAAACGTGCTCAAGAAGTTCGTAAAACTCTCTAATTCTCAATAGTCCAATCCCTATGGAAATGATTTTGGTATTGTACCACTTTATTACTTGTAGTGATCATAGTATCGGCGTGCACTTAGACTGCCACGGTGGGGACTTTGTGCCCACTGTGAACACTTACGATTCATAGATATCAAACACTATGAACATGGCCGGTCCTATGGTTTTGGATGCCGGAGAGTAAAAAATTCCCCTAATCCAAGAAACATATAACACATTTTTAAGAGGTTTGGGACCTTGCTGAACTCTCTTACAAGAGGGATGCTACCTTCTTGGGGGAGAGAGTAGGTCACGCGAAAGGGAATCTCGAGATTGGATCTAGACCGTAGAATCATTTACATGGTGCACCAACATGATTTTATGTTTAACGACTATGAGTAACTAACATCTGAGGTACATAATATATCATCGACAACCTTTCCATTCATTGTTGAGTAATAACACCATTATATTTTCTCTTTTTTTTGTCCACTCTAGGTTTATTATGAGTTGGGTCTTTAGAAATAATCAAAATATTTGCCTAATTTACTTACCTTTTACAATAGAAAAGAAATCATTTACAAAATAACAAAGACATAAAAATTACGTACATCACCTATTTATTTTTTAGTTCACCAATTTCTTAGGGGAAATATTCACCACAAATAACCAAATATGAACAAACCACTACAACAAAGTGGAAATACTGGTCCAGTTATCAAATATAACACGATCATTAATCATAATCAAACCACAAATGATGTAAAGATAATATCAAGCATAAAATATTAAGACACAAATATATATAGTTATGGCACCAAAACAGGGCATTGAGATTTAACCAAATAAGCAAATCACTTACATAAGTGAAATAGGTTTAAGGAAATCACTTAAAGAGTCATATCATCAAGATAACAACAAATAAACATCAAAAAAACTAAGAAAGAAACCATCAAATTTAAGAAAATCAGATAAGTAGATGAGTAAATAAGAAACTAAGAAAGAAAACACATTGCTTCAAGCTTGAAATAAAAACTAATTGCTATTTGAAAACTGAGAGTGAGAGTCGAGACCGGAGGTTAGAAAATGAGTCAAGGTGAGAGGCTGAGAGACGACTGCCGAAAGCAAGGGTGGGCATTGGTAGTGTTGTGCGTCATAGGTGAGGGGCAGAAGGCCAATTGTAAATCGTGAGCGAAAAGGTAAGAGCTAGAGGCCAAGAGCAGTAATATTTTTTGGAAGAAAAATCAAATGATGAGCCTGTTAAACCTTATTTGATTGTTGGGTTGTGACGCCCTCTCGGTTTTGATGCTTGGGCCACCGCCCTCTTTGCCCAGGACTAGGGCCACCTTTGACCATGAAACCGATACACGAACACCATAAACTGATACATGAACCCCATAAAACAATAAAACTGATTCAAGAAGCAATGAACCACATTAACTTATATATAAGACAATGAAACTGATATATATATATATATATATATATATATATATATATAAAAGAATGTAAAGATATTAAAATCACAAATGTACTAATATAATTTAATTTGTGCTTCTACATTTCTTATTTTCATTCATTAATTTGTGTAATAAAAATAGATTGGTGAGTAAGCTATGCTTTTATTTTTATTTAATATAAAATAAATAAAATATAAATATTAAATTGAGAAATCAAAAATTAAATATGAAAATTAAACACGAAATTATTGCTTTCCATGATTAATGATTTCATTTTCCCATTCTGTCCTTCGCTGCTTCCTTATTAATGAAGCTTATTAATTTTTTCTTTGTTACATAACAAAAATTCAATTAATCCTAACCTTTAATCTATAAAATCAATGGTTATAGATGGTTCGTACGGTTTGCACATATGACTTTGTTTACACAAATTTATCCATCAATGGTTTCCACAACGTTTTGCAGGTTTTTCGTTAAGTTTTTTTACACGTTTTTCATATCATATCATTGTTAATTCAACAACTTAAAAAACCTCGAAACATAGTTTTATTATGACAAAAATATCCTTTAGAGTGCGTTTGATACACTGAACAAGACATTACATAATATAATAGGGATTTTTGCTCCACGTTTGACAAAAGTTTTATGTGGAACAAACAGGAAGAAAGTGGAACAGGTTTGTTTCACTCCTACCTCATAGAACAGGTTGAAACAGACTTATATTTTACCAATATAAACTCAAAATAAAACTTAATTCTTTTCTAAAACATCAAATAGATCTTTTTTTTTTTACATTTTATTTATTGTATTTTATATTTTTTAAACTTTCATTTTACTATTATCAAAATATTATTTTTATATAAGTTATATATTTTTATTAATTTATATAATTTATTATGTATT